AAAAACAAGGCAATTGCTGTTGGGCTCATGTTTAGTGTATAGTATATGGCATATGTGTAGAGTTCGATCATGGTGTGGGCGCATCGCCGATATCAGCCAGTGCAATAACCAATTGAAGAGTGCGCCCAAGGCTCCTCGGCCGGCCCAAGTCAACGCACTCGGCCAGAAAAAAAACCAGCTGTACTCAAGTTCACATGCAAATTGAAAATCACCAAAATTGGCGGCATTAGATATATGATAATGCTTAGCAGATTGACGACGCCACCGCCGCCACTTCTGTGATTTATGCCATTCGATTCTATGCTGAGCGCTTTGACAGCCGCCACACACAACTTCCGTACGGTTCATTGACACAAGCACCCAAACGCTTGTAGGCTGACACAGCCAATAACGGCGGCAATCGGGCCATCTATCTGCAGGCGAGTCCATGCATTCGCTGTGCCATCGAATGTCCGTCAAAGTATTAGGTGTCAGCCACTTACAGTGAGAGCCACTGTCGTCGCATCCTTAGCTGTCAGCTGTAACTTGGAGCCGCAGCTCTGACGCACTTTTAGCCATCGATTCGTGCACATGCCGCTGCTTAAAATGATTTCCTCTTGTCTAACCGACGACAATTTGCTCAAGCTGACAGCCGCATGTCCACCCACACGGCCCCACGAGAAGCTTTAGCAGATTCCCTCACCTGACAGTCGGCAAAACAAAACTAAACAAAACACACCCCAAATACAGAAATACAAAAAATTGCTCAGCTCATTCATTCAGATTTAAGCATTTAAATTCAATTTATTTATTTTTTCGGCAGCTCGTACGACCAAAAAAAAAATCTGTGTCGCTGTGCCAACAAACAAATTTTGTTCTAATGACTTTTGCTAAATATAAAAATACATATACATATAATATAAAGTATATGTATATCTACATATGTACCTGTCTTTTGTTCGCTTGGTGTGGCTCAAAATTATGATTATTAATTTGTAATTTTTTTTTCTGAAATTATACAGCTATTCAAATCAGGCTTGGCTTTTATTGGCATTGCTGATTTGACATTACGGAAGCAAGTTGGCTTTTAAGGCAATTCCCGTCGGGCACAAAAAGAAAAAAAAAAGAACATTTGCAATCATTAAGAACAACTTTGCCACTTAACGGTTTAATATTGGCTATAAACTTCTTGAATAATGTATATCCAAAACTGTGCCCGTCGATTGCTTAAAACACGATGAGTCAACCAGAGAGAAGCCTCTGGATGAATAGATAGGCATATATTAGATCCGAATTGGGCATCAACTCACAACATTCACCACAGGCACGTGCACGTGCCATTATTTATTCATATAATAAACTTTCCATCTCAAGTTGTTTCAAGAAAAAGCTCAGCTATTTGCTACTCTTTGGTAAAACTTTATAAATATATTCTATTTTCATTAAAAGCATGTCAGAAAATGTGTGGCTATATTTATGTCACTAAGAATTAAATAATTGAACCAGGTTTGGCAGTTAAAAAAGTATTGAAATTATTTAAATCTGAATAAAATTGTATGAAATTAAAGTGCATTTATTTAGAGATAAAATTATACAAATTCATATATATCTATTAAATATCATTTTATATTATATTGAATATTATTTTTTTAATTTTATTTATACTCTTATGTTTTCATTTCATTTTGGATTTATTTTTAAAAATAATCGAGTCTGATTTATCAGCTATGCTTCAATCGTTAGGATAACAATTTTTCTAGTAGACTTTTCGCCATTGTATAGCCAAGCGATTGGACGTCTCTTCTGTTCATCGTCAAAGAGCTCATTAAAATGCAGATTAAATCGACGTTGTTTTTTCGATAAATATATATATATATATATATATATATATATATATATATATATATATATATATGTGTGTATAT